TTTTAGAGAAGCTAAAACTTTCATTATATTTGAAATTGGCCAGATGTCAGCAATCCTGCATCCAGCTTTGAATGTCAAACCCCAGTTAAGCACTTTGGCAAAGTAGAATGTTTACTGAGGAGGAAAAACAAAATAGTAAGACATGTGGAGAAGTACTAGAGAAAATGAGGGTGCCTGCTTGAAGAAATAAGATTCCAGAGGCCTGACAAATATCTTCAAATGTACTAAGTCTGTTTATCTTACAGAATAGGAAATAGACATGCTCAATAATTCTAGTAGACTGAATGGTGCATATTAAAAATAGGTAGGGGGATTTTGCTTCAATGTTCAAAGTGTCTAAACCGGGTGCAGTGGTGCTGCCTGTAATCCCAATGGCTCAGGAGGATTGCAAGTTCAAAGTCAGCCTCAGCAAAAGCGAGGTGCTAAGCAACTCAGTGAGACCCTGTCTCTAAATAAAATACAAAACAGGCATGGGGATGTGGCTCAGTGGTCAAGTGCCCCTTAGTTCAATCCCCTGTACACTGTTCCCTTCCCCGAAAAAGTATCTAGTACAGGCTGCCTTGAAATGTAATGAGTACCCTGCCATTGAAAGACTTAAACAAAGGCTGGATGACCATAGTTAAGAATTCAATATGAAAAGATTCTTGTATTGGGAGAAAGTTGTAATTGCTCTAAAACCCTTTCCAATCCCAAAGCACTTAAGAGCTGAAGTGATTTTTCAGAACCTGTATTTACAATCAATGACTAATGAGAAAACAAATTATTGATAATTAAAATCTGCATTATGATGAAAATTATAGGATGACACTTGAAATGTACCTGCAAATGTATTAAACATGTAGACTATATTTTAATAAAATCACTGTAAATGATTTCACCTAAAAAAAGTTAACCTAGTTCTGCCTTTTATATCCACAAACGCTAAAACATACATCAGTGAGATGATCTTATACAGGAATAGTTAAAACTGTACGACATGGAAATTTAGCTAACCTTCTGCCACTGAAGAAGGAATCCATGATGTTTTATCGATAACAGAATTTAGATTTTGTATGGGTCTCAAAGTAGAACACTGTTTACATCTGAAATTAATAAAAGAAAAAGTTGTGAATATTTAAAAGTAATTTAATTATTATTATAACATTTTTGCTGCTTAAGTACATATAAGTTTAGAAGGTAAATTATTAAACAGAAGATTACTGTACTACCTATATTGTAATGTACTTATTTCAAAAGGGCATTAACAAAAAATAAGGCTTTTTTTTTTTTTAACATAAAAGCAATAAAAAAGATACATGGGGATAAAAATAAGCAACTCTACTTTGAGAACTGAGGAATGAATTCCAGATGCCAATCATTAATTAATATGACTCTTAATTTCATAATATTAAAAAGTTGAAAGAGATAATTTCTAAGAATTCTTTTGATTTTATAGCAAGCAGTCAGGATTAGATACTAAAAAAATTTAAAAAAATACTAATTAAATTTCAAATAATCACATATAGAGGTTTATAGTTTATGATGCCTAATACTACAGTTCTCTTTTAAAATGTAAAAATATCTAAACTTATGTTACTACTAAAGTTGTACACTATTTAGAATAGACATTTTGCTTTGCTTATATACCACATATTTTAAGTTTGAATAATTCCTTTTTTAATCACACATCATCATATATTTATGACATATGATAAGAAAATTTTTGAATAAAAACAAAAATTCAAATTCAAAAGATTCCTTTTATTTTCAGTTTGGGGCAAGCAAGGTAACTGTATTAAATTTTACCACCTAATCATCAAATACATAAATGATTCTTAACTAACTAAAAAGACAGCTGAATGAAATAATAATATTGTCTAAAATAGGAGACTGAAATATTAATTAGATTGTGACACTGATAAAGCAAGTATACTAATTAAAGATTTAAGGAAATAAGTCAAAAAAACTCATTAATTCCAAATCAGTAAAAGGTGAAAAACGACAAAATTTGAAACATTTAAGAAAATCAATTCAACAAAAAGACTTGAAACATTTTTAAAGAAAGTAAAAATATACTAAAAATGTGCTAAGTAGAAAATATTAAAAATGAAAAGATATATACTACATACTAATAATTAAAATGTATTTAAATTCATCTGCTAATGATAACTAAACAATTTATAAGTGACATATTAAAACTGGATGACACAAACTTGAAAACAGAATTAGATACTAAAAAAAGTTGAAAACAATGAAAAATATTAGCAAAAACAAACCTTAAGGAAAAAAAAATATGGTTCGAAATATTTTCCTTTTGTAAGGACCAATAATACTCAACTAAATGAACTCAGAAAAGAGCCTCAAAATATATATAGCAAATGGTGACAGAATAAAGAGACTCAAAATCACAGAGGATGTTTACACACATCTTATAAGAAAATGTTTAAATCAATAAAATTATAAAAGAAACAGAATTTTTATTATGACTAATAAGCCTGATCTAATGGACATATTAAACTCTAATTCAACTATTAAGGACTGTACATTCTTTTACAAAACAGACAGAATATGTACAAATCTAAGCATACACATTGTAGGATAAAGAAAGCTGAACAAATCCCAAAGAAACATTATGAAATGTTCCAAAATGTTTAGCTAAAAAACAATCTCACTAAAATATACATGATAATATAACAACTAAAATACAAATTTAAGAAATGTTATAAACACAGCTAAATAATTTCTTGGTCAAAAAAGAAATCAGGAATTATGAGACATTTAGAAGTATGTTACAAGAATAACACTACATATCAAAACTTGAGATAAATCTATGGCTATATTCTCAGGAGGAAATTTATAATTATAAATGTTAAAATATATTAAAAATTAATTAGTTGAGGCAAGCATTAAATATAGAATGTTTGAAAAACTAAGGAGACCTAAAGAAGTAAAGGAAGACAAAGAGCAGTAGTACAATATAAAGAGCATGATCATGAACAAAAGTCGGCTGTTTTGACAAAGAAAACTCAAGGAAAAAAGGAGACACATACAAACGATATTAATTAGATGCAACGACAAAGCAGATATTTAAAAGAATTTGAAAATATAATCAACAATTGTATGTCAATAAGCTTAAAAAATGAAATGAATACTTCTCTAGAAATATTTCATTAATAAAATATAAATACTTAGAAGATGTAGAACCATTAAAGAGACACACTGAACCATTAGCTTAAATCTTTTTTAAAAAGGATCATGTTCGGACAACATAAAGAAAGCTTTTAAAAACTTTTATGGGCTTAGGAAAGCATTTTGGCAAAAATGACTATATTAACATTTTGAAACTCCATAAAACAAAGGAAATCATGAAATTAGAAAGATATAGATAGCACCGTAAGTATGTAACTGACAAAATATTAGTATTTCTACTACAGAAGAATATTTACAAGCAGTTGCATGCACATGCACAAATTTAAACTAAAAAGAGAGTGGTAATCACATAGAAAAGCAGGCAAAAGATGTGAACTTGGAATTGATGAAACAGAATACTGAAACAGTCAATAAACATATGGGTTGTATAAACCCAATAATCATCTAGAAAATACAAGAAAATACATAGACAACATTTGAAGTCTAATAAAGTTATAAGTTACATTTACACCAATGCATGGAGAGAACATAATAGAAATTGAAATTTTTATATACTATTGATGAGACCATTAATTGTTAAAAGCATTGAACAATTCAGTTTTCTTCCCCAAAAAGCAAAAAATATGCTTATCTTATGACCCAGTAATTCCAGTTCTAGGTAAATGACTTAGTAGTCACTTTCAAACTCTTTTGGCAAGGACCCATAGTAGTAAATTCATTTTAGATTATGTCCTGGTATGTATCCCAGTATATATCTAAAAATAAAAAGTCTAAAAAATATCTAAAATATATAAAAAAACTAAAAAATCAAAACTGCTGGTTATGATCACTGAAATGATTTTATGACAAAGAAAATGTGTAACAGGAGATGATTTAGTATTGTCATCTTTAAATTAAATAGCATATACCAATTAATAGGAAATAGATGAATAATTATGATGTTGAAAGAGTACAGATAGTAAAATAACTTAAATCTATACAATCTACATGGATAAGTCTTGAAAAAAACATTGAATTTAAAAAATGCTGCACATGAGTAGGCATGCTATATAACAGTTTACACACATTTAAAAAACACAAAAAATAATAAGATATACTGCTTAAGAAGTTCATATATTACAACAGAAGCATCAAAACATGCCTGAGAAGGACTGACACAACTTTGGAAAAATAGTTATCTGTGAGAAAAAAGGGTTAGAGAAGGGTCTGTTATAAGGACATATTTCTTCTCTGTAAAATACCAATTCTTAAATGTAAAGTCTGAAAAATGCTAAAATGCTAATATCTGCTAAATCTAAGTAGAGGGTATATAAGTGTTGTGACATTTTTTTGATATTTTTGTAAGTTAAAGTTATTTTATAATTAAAGATAAAAAGGAAATCAATTAAAAGACATGTTGGCTTTTGCTGCTGATATTCAAGTAATAGAAAATCTAAAAATATCTTTAAAATTTAACATGTAAACAAAATTTCTGTATTGGTTCATGCTGAAAGTGGTGAGAAAAGCTGACATCCTTAAAATAACTTTTATAAAATAGAATACTGGTAAATTAACAAATGACATTCTAGAGTTCATAACTAATATCTGCTTTCCAAGTTTAAGAGTAGTCAATTACCCTATACAAGGAAGTCAAGTCAGAAAAAGGGCAAGAGAGAGAAGAGGTGTGTGTGAACACACAAACACAGACTCACACACCCATAAAACAAAACAAATGGAAAATCCCATGTTAGTGATTTCATTCAAGAAGAAACACACAGAACATAAAAGGTTTTGATTGTTGAATTAACTGGTGGATAAATCTTGAAGATGACTCTGAGGTCATGTATCTAGTGAGAGATATAAAGATATTGGGCACATCAAGGTAAAAATCAATATTAACCTAGGCATTTAATTCAGTGGTGCAAATAATTAGTTCCACTTTATGACTGAAGCATTTTGGTGTATTTTATAGGGGATAGAACCTGGGGGATGCCTACTAGTGACTCCAAGTTCTCAATCTGGGAAACATGATAACTGTAGTAAATAATTTTTCAATGGAAATCAAGATGTACCCATTTTTAATAATGACTAACAATTGCTACAAATTTAGGAGTAGGAGAAATAGAGAGTATAAGATGCATCCATCCTAAAATCCAAGGTCTCAAAGCAGGACATTTGCATGGTGATTGTTTTTTCAAGTAGTAGGTGGCATTTTTATCTCTATGCTTTCCTTCTAAACCTAGATATCTCTTTATATATCATAATGCATTCTTTTATCTTTTAATTTTTAGTGTAATCAAATTTTTTATCTAATGTCCTGGCAATTCTGGAATTCAATCACTTAATTATAAGTTTGCAGCACTGAAATTTTCTCTGTAGCTATTATCTAAATCCTTGTGAAAGAAAACAAGTATTTGCATCTGTCTGAGGAAAAAAAAAAGGTTGTAGGCTTATACTTTGAACACTGTGTGCTTAATATATAATGCTTAATAGAATAGAAAAATCTAGTATAGATAATCCTTGATCTACTTTGGAGTTACATCTTAATAAACCAATTTTAAGTTGAAAATACCTTAAATTGAAAATGCATTCAATACATCTAACCTAGAGAACATATAGCTTAGCAACACGTTCTGCTGCAGAGTGTTAGTTGTTTACCCTGACTGAGAACTCCAGCTTGCTACTAGTGCCCAGCCCTGTGAGGGGAGTACTGTACTCATATGACTAGTCCAGGGAAAAATCAAAATTTACTGAGTGTGTGTCACTCCAGCCATTTTAAGTTGGGAACCATCTGTATAGATAAGTTGGTACTAAGTATCTGCTAAACATATACTAGTGCATGGGACAAAATACTAACAATATAGTTTTTCATTCCAAAAATTCCCTGGGTTGAAAACATACCCGTAGTAAAACACTTTTCCTTGTATAAGAAATGGTGCTGAAAGATCTAGGAGTTCCAGGTCTTCGGGGCCAGATCTCACAGGAATTACACTGTGAAACTTGTTTGAGAGTTTAAATATTTCACCAAGCATACCTCCTATTAAAAAAGAAGAAATTAGCCATCCAGGTTTATTAAATAAGCCATATCAGGTTTATATAATGAAGGCAAAATGGAATACTTATTAAGTAACACATGAGTTATAGTATATACTAAAGAGATTAACAGAAAAAAATAAAGTCATAAATTTAGAGATTTAATCACTCATGGTAAAAAAATATTAATCCTATCTATTAACATTATATAAAAATCCTATATATATAACAAAATTATACAAATATGTTGGGACTTAGTCAGTGCCATGGCACATGCCTATAATTTCAGCAGCTTAGGAGGCTGAGGCAGGAGGATCATGAGTTCAAAGTCAGCCTCAGCAACTTAGTGAGATCCTGTCCCAAAATAAAAATTAAAAATAAAAAGGGCTGGGGATGTGACTCAGTAGTTAAATGTCCTGGGTTCAATCATTAGTACCCCAAATTTAAAAATAAAAAAAATTTAATGCTGAGACTTGATTAAAAATACAAAATTTGTAAAATTTCAACCATCATCTTAAATCTAAATAAACTGCTCTTTATGCTAGGATCACCTTGGTTCAAATAACCAAGAGAACAAAGATGGGAACCAAAGTATTATAGGTTTCTCACTACTAAATTTCTTATTGCTATTAATGTCTAAACAAATATAGTTTTGAGTTTGAAATATCTTTTTTTATGATTATAATTTAATAAAACTTTATTTACAAAAATAAGTGACTTGACCAGATTTCACATATAATCTCTGTCTAGAGTAGTATGTCCGACAGAAATATATCACAAACTTCATTTAAAAGTTTCTAGTACTTGCATTAAAATAGGATGAAATTTTAATATATTTCATCTAATATAGCATATCCAAAATATTTTCAACATATTGTCAGTAAAAAGACTAATAAATTATTTTACATTTTTTCACATTAAATCTTCAAAAACTGCTGTACAATATTTAATACTTACAGCCCATCTCAATGTGTTTTTGTTTCAAATGCTCAGTAGACAAATGTGGCTCAATGACTACTGAATGGATAGTGTAGGTCTATAGTTCTAAACCTGATCAACTATATAATTACTCTACCCTCTATATCTTCTAGCTATTCTGTACTTTCATTTTGAAATATCTTTTAAGCTTTCAGATCAATATTAAATTTAACTATACCTATGTAGAGTAGTTTATGTCATATGAACTCAAATACAGTGTTTATTCATTTTTCCTGGAAATATTATCATACTTCCCCTAATTCTGTGACAGGTCAAACAAATCTAAGAAGCTAGCTATTTAAAAGCTTCATATGCCAAAAGCTACAGTCTATCTTTTAGATACTTATACATTGCCCCACTTAACCCTGCCTACTTTGCTTAAAATTGCAATGAGCGACCGACCATTCATAAACTCTTTTTCCATGAATGTTCCCTGCAAAACAACATTCCAAAGAACACTGTGAGCATTCTGCCCGGCCATTTTCACTGGATTACCCAACATTGGCTCTGACATGAGTCTGATAACCTTGGTTGAGCTACTTTGGTAGTTCCCCCGATTTTATTTTATTTTTTTTTGGTGTGCGGGGGTAGTACTGGGGATATCACCTGGGGATGCTTAACTACTGAGCCACATCCCCAACCCTTCTTTAAATATTTTATTTAGAGACAGGGTCTCACTGAGGACAAGTGCCTCACTAAATCGCTGAGACCAGCTTTGAACTCTCAATCCTCCTGCCTCAGTCTCCTGGGATTATAGGCATGCACTACCTTGCCCAGCAGAATTTAGTGTCCTCATTTTAAAAACAGAATTATAATACCGTTATACTGTAAAGTCATTATAAAGATTGAATAATTTAATATTTATAAAGTACTTAGAGTCACATGTGACTACTTTTATTAATTATTACATAAAGTTCACAAAAGAAAACACTTTGTCTTGTATGCTACAATACCACCCATGATGTCAGTTCCCAGCACAGAATAAACATATGCAGAATAAATGAAAGAGTACAAATAAAAGATGCTTAAAATTATATGAATGAATAGCAGTGTTAGAAAGGTTTTTTATCTATAGGCATTATTACTGAAAGACACATATTTATAATGGTTACAAAGATTCATCTTGGACTATGAACATAGGTTTGAGTTTTTCTTCTCCCATTTACTAGCTCTTTAATTTTAAGCTATTTTTTATCTTCTCAGTCCCAGGTTTCCCATCTGTTTAAAAAAGGGACAATAAATAGCTTATAGACATTGTTATGAGCTAAAGATAAAATATTAAACTATGTAGTTTAGTGCATGGCATATAGTATGCTCAAGATATCAATAAATATTATGATAAAATGACTCAACATTAGAGTTGCAAATGAATTACATTTCAGAGTAAGTTTAAAATTATTCAGTTTTGAAACTACATATTAATAATAAAAGGAATACATCTGAAAAGAAAGAATAGGAATATTACTACCAACTCTATACCCACAAGTTTATTAACTTAGATGAACAATTTCCCAAAACTCACACAAGGAGAAACAGATAATCTGAATAAAACTTTATCTATGAAATACTGAATCAATAGCTAAACCTAAGGAGGGGAAAAAAAAGAATCAGGCCCAATTTCAATAGTGAATTCTACACAAACATTTAAAAAATGTATCTGTCTCATTCAGAAAAAGACATTACAAGAAAGGAAAACTACCAACTAATATCTCTCATGAAGGCAGATATAAAAACCCTCAACAAGTATCAGGAACTAGAATCTAAAAAATGTATTCAAGTAACCATTCATCTATAAATGAGATATATTATAGGTATGCAAAGGTAGTTCAACATTAAAAACATTAATTGATATTACTTGTCACATCTACAAGCTAAAGTAGAAAAATAAATATAACATCAACGGATGCAGTAAAAAAAAGCATTTAACAAAACCTAATACTCATTAATGACAAAAAACCTCAGCAAATTAGAAATAGAGGTAAACATATATCCTGTCTTTAGTAAGATTAAAATCTAATAAATGAATTTTTAAACAGACAAATTAACATAAATCACAAGGTGATTTGGCTTTTTTTGTGATGGTTAAATGGATACATAACAAACACCAATTAGAGTCGTTTTGGGCACAGTGTAATTACATTAGAAAATTGCTATGTTCATGAAAATGATATCCATTTTTTATAAACAGGAATATTTATATAGATATGCTTTATAAAATCATATAAAAGCAGCATTACTCCTATGAATAAAAAATGTCAGCAATAAAAATAGTACAATCATTATTATTATAAAACAGAAGGAAGCATTTCTCCAATGCAAATTAGTTATCATGGAAAATTATATAGGAAGAAAAGTTTTAAGGAAAATAATGAAACTTTAAACTTGTCTTGAGAAAAGTTGTATTACATACATAAAATATTAGATAAAATGTGACAGAAATGGAAAGAAAATGAAAAAGGAAACATAATAAAAGATTTATTCTTTTACTTTATTAATTTTTTTTTTTTTTTGGTGGTGGTCTGGTGATTGAATGCAGGGCCTCATGAAAGCTAGGCAGGCATTCCACCACTTAGGTGTATACTCAGGCCCGAATTTTCCTTCTTTTAAAACTTGTCAAGTTATTCCTACTTGTTTAATGGTCTCTTCCTTGATTTAGACATCAATACAAGACTTTCATCCTATTTTTATGAAACAACAGTGACATCCAGAGGCCAAGACAACAGCAGCTCTACAATAGCAATCAGTTCACTATTATTACTCAGCTAAATAATCAGTTTGGAACTGACAAGATCACATGCCAGAATTCAACAAGATGGATGAACATAAATACTTAGGTTTAATGTCTAATTTCAAAATGTAATTCAGATGAATGTGTGTGTACGTGTGTGTATAATATATTTGAATCTAGTTAATATAACATTCAATTTTGTGAGACTTAAATTACTAGTATTTTTCATTTATATGTATTAGGTGGCCTGTAAAATACATTTAATGGTAATTAACCTGTAAAAGCAGTATTCTAAAAAACAACAGTTTAAATATCTTACCTTCTATCAAAACCAGACATTCATTTGAAAGTGGAAGAATACCATTATTTTTCACAAAATGAACAACTACTTTTCGTCCTCCTTGGTCTTTGGTGGTCCAGATCTCTGAATCATATAATGATGTATTTTGTAGTTTGTTATCTGGGGATTGAGTTGCAGCATCTTGCAAAATTATATCCAAATTGCCCTCATGTGGAACTTCTTGCCTAAAATCAATGACAATGAAGTATTTTAAAGCAATTTTGTTTTAATCTTAAAAATTCCACTTTAAGAAAGCATCCAATTAAAATTCCATTTTTATATACAGATCAATTAATCTATTTTTTCTTAAATTAAGAAATAATTCACTGTTCAAATCAAGTAATTTTATTCAATAGATATCTGGTATTTTGTGGCTAAGCAGATCTACACCATCATTTCATTAACCACTGCCTAATTTTGAATTATGATTACTTATAATTATTTTTTTTATACCAATCTGTTCTCCTCTGTAAGGAATGTGAAAATTACCAGTGGGAGAAAAAAAAAATGCAGCAACTCCCTTTCCCTCTCTTTATCCAGTTAATCTCATTTTCATAGATCATATACTTTTAACCAATCTTAAACTTCCTTTAATAATTAGTAATTAAGTCATATGGTTAAAGTATCATAGTGTAGAAATGGCATGTTTTGGAATCAAAAGGTCTATGTGCCTGTCCTGGTTCTGTTGTCAATTAGCTGTACAACTTTATCTCATTTGTTTAAAAGGGGATTATAGATAGGGGCTTTGCTTTAAAGAGCTGTAGGATTAACACAGAAAGGTAGATTACCTGCAGGCAGATAGGAATAAGGGCCTTTGAGGAGGTGGGAGAGAAGAGACCTGGCCATCCTACAAGGAGACACTAGGCCTTGAGAACATTCTGTGACTACTTCTGCCAGCCTCAACAGTAATTGCCCTTCCTGAGCTACCCTTATCAATAGCCAACCACAAAATCTACTCTTATCCCAAGCACTTTCTATTCAACTTTAAAGGACCAAATCCCAAGGTTGAGCCTGTCCTCTTAATTATGTAAATAAGGGATCAAACATATACACTTTGGATTGGTTTATTCAACCAGAGCTTAAAGAGCTTGACTGCTCCATTCTTCATTTATATAGGTTCCACTAATCACCTACCAGGGGCCATCACACATGTCTTTAAAAACCCCCAACAAATAGCCAGCAGTACCCTCCCTTAGGACCGCTCCTGTACTGTGGGAGCCTTTTCTGACTTAGATAAATCTTGGTACTCTACCCTCCACTTTTTTTGTGGATCTCATTCTTGGAATCTGAGAGACAAGAACACACTTAACGTCATGCTCCATGCAACATGATTATACACAGAATTTAATGATCCAAAATTTGATAATATTTCAAGAATTAAGTAAAATATTTACATATATTTTAATCCCAACTACCATTCAAGGTCTAATGGGTCCCACATGTAATTTAAAGCTATTTGATGATCAAAAACTGCTCCAAACAGTATTATTCTTAGATTTTAGAGGGAAAATATGTATATTAATGTACACAGAAATTAGTAAATAACATAGCAACACAAATATATATGGTCATGTATATAATGTGCATCATAGTACACTACAGAGAACGCTTGATTTTTGGTATCCAAATGTACATATCCATCCATTAGCTACTTTTCATTAACATCATTTTATATATTTAGACGACAGGTAAATTGCATTAAAAATATGAACAAAAATTTAAAAAATAACTTTCCAAATATCTCTTGAGCTGAGTACATATTAACAAGATTACAAAACAGTCCTATACATATCTGCATTTGTTTACTTACTTATTTATAATTAATGTTTGTAGTAAAGACATCAAGGAACTGAGAACTTATTAATTTCTGCACAAAATTTAAATTGTGCTTTTTATATTATAGTTCTTAACTAGACAGAAATATTTCTAACAAGAATTCTGTATCACTTAAGTAAAATACCAATTACCTACATTTTTTTTCAAGAATTCCAGTTAAAACAGATTTATATTTACATATACATTTTGTAACAAAGGAGAAATTCTCCCGAAATGCATTTCTAATTTATTATTTTCATAGGCATTTATCAGAACTAAGGTGAATTTCAGATCTAAAAATGGCACATATTTTTATTTATTATTACTAAGAACGAACTGAAAGGAAATATAAGGAAAAAGAATGAATCGGAAGAATCTACTCTGAGATTGTACATTTCCCTTAAAAACATTATCATTCTTTCAAAATACTATAAATGAAATCACAATTGATCATTATCAGGACTTAAAAATATGTATGTGTAATGCTTATATACAAATAACATGATAACTTTATTTTGGAATACTTACAGTGAATAACATTTAGGACAATGAAGTTTGACAGACTGAAAAAGTTTTCTGGGCTTATAGGATCTCAGTTTTGCTCGGATTCGATATTGCTGAGGAGCTTTTTGTTTCAAAATTGCACATAATGGTGTTTTCTCCAAATACTGATGATCTGTAAGAACTGTACAGAATTTTTATATTAAATCAGAATAGCTTACAAGAGCCTTAAGTGTATTCATGACATCCCCCAGAACCAAATATACACTATAAAACCTAATTAACTTACACATTGTTAACTGTCAGTTCCAAGAAAGCAAAAGTCATATTATTCCTGGATGCATACCCATAGGATTTAGGCAGCATTGTCATGCAGATAACGTTACTATTGAAAATTGGGCAGGAGTTGGGGGAGGAGAGTGAGACCAGAACCTTGGTGGCAAATGCCCAGCAGGAAGGCCAGGAAGGCACACAATAGGTATCCAACAAATATGCTGAGTAAATGCCAAATACTTCACTCATGAAATAATTTGTCTAGTAAGTGTACACTAAGTATTTTTATATGAGACTAAAAGTGATTTCTTGGCTAACTTAAGGAAAACAGTAAAGTTTATTTCATCAAGAAAATGAGTATGTTACCTGTGAAACATTTTAAAATATTCACTATAATACTGATATCTGCAACAACTCTATCAGGTAACAGCTTAAGTTATGTTTGACATTGTTCAACAGAATATAACAAAACATATTTGCTCAATATTATTTGCCAGACAAGTTCTTCTCCCTGATAATTAAGATAAGAGACTCTTTCCAGAACTTTCATTTATAATAAACAATTCCAAGAGTGACAAGGGACATTAAGGAATACCAAATTGTCATGGTGGTGGTAAAGTACAAGAAGGAAAAGGAGTCAGGTGGGAAGGAAATGAATGAGGAAGGTGAAGAGAGGAAAAGGAGGGAAGAAGGAAGATGAGAAATAGAAGAATTAGATTGGAAAAAAAAGTCAGACAAAAGCAATAGAGGCTTAGCCTGGTAAAATGGGTTTCCTCAGCTGAAGGTGGAAAGGTCTGGGACAGCAGTGGTCAGTTTATACAGAGATGAGTAGAAAATTGCTGGTGACCCTCAGTGTAAGAAAGCAACCCTTACTCTGCCTGCAAAATTAGTTAATACTTTTCTATTTTAGAAAATAGAATGGATGCACACAGTTTGACACTCAAATGGCTAGGAGCATTACTTCCTATATCCAGCTTTAATCCAACTAAAGTCTCACTGAATAAATTTGCCTTCAAGGAGGTAAGAGGCCAAGAGTTTACAGTGGAATAGTTTTGCTTTAAAAAGCAAAAGGCCAAAGTAGATGCAATCAGTTTAGTTTAAAATTGGCACTTGCTTCAATTAACACTGTGAGACAAAGTTTTTAACTTTTTATTTAAAACTTTCAAACTTAAAGAAAATTGCAAAAGTAATACAAAAACCCCCTATATTCCCTTTCCCAAGCTTTTGACACATTTAACCTTGTCAGTCTGCCTTTATCTCTCTGCATATGTATTTTTATTAATGAAATAATTGAGAATAATTTTTAGATATCATGCCTCCTTCCCCCAAATACTTTAGTGTGTATTTCACAAGAACAAGATCTTTCAATGACATAGTTACAGTGCAATTTTCAACATCAAAACATTTAACATTAATTTAATAGATATTATTCAAATTTTTCTAACTATTTCTAAAAAGTTCTTTTCAGCATTTTATTATTTGGTTCAGAGTCCAATCCTGTTTTTATTTTTTGACATTTATTTGAGAAGTTCAGGCCACTTACTTTGTAGAATAAACATTAATTTGGGTGTTTCTTGTTTTACTCTCAGGTTCAAATACAAGTTACACATTTTTGGCAAAGACAATATCTGTGATAATGTGTGCTGCTCAGTGCATCCATCAAAGGACATATAATACCGTTGTTTCCATTATTGGAAATATAACTTTTTTCATTTGGTTTAGGTGATTAGTCTGCTATAAATTTACTATTTTTCCCCCTCATAATTGGTAAAGAGGTACCTAAGAAAAAGCAAATATGCTATGCTTCATCAAATATTTAGGACCTAACAGCTTAGGAGCCGCTGATTCACAATTAAATCAATTATTACTAATATCATCGCAAAATGATGGATTTTTTTCTAATTTAATTGTTTTTTTTTATATTTATTAGTAGTCATATGTAGTAGTCATTTCTCCATAAGAAAGAGATTTCCATTCAACCCCATTTATTTACTGTTGTTTGTTATCAACATGGGCTCATACAGTGAGTTCTAATCCATCACTAATATATATTTTGATGTTCAAATTGTCCTAGATTTGACATGTCCAAACATTTATTTGAGAATTTCCTTGTTTTCTGGTACTCTAAATATTTCAAATTTATCTTATTCCCTTGTCCTAGCCCCGGATCTGCTATTTCTCTAAGAAGCCCTTGCATATTTTTAAACCAAAATCTGTAGACTGCTTATACCTATTGTTAGTGGAATACCCTTGCCTCTGTGCCCTTTCATGGATACAGGTGGGCATATGTGCATATAGGTTGATACTGGTAATACACATACATGTACTTTTATATGAATATGTATACATGTAAATATATGGATACACACACACACCACTGTCATCATTTCTATAGCTACATATAAAATTATGCCATGATTACATGGCATCTTTGGTTCCAATACAACACCAAGTTTTATTAAGCGTTCTCTCATTCCATATTTTGTATCCCCTTTCTCTCATATGAGAAACTCATATCTTTATAATAGTATATAACATTTAATTAAACTGTGTTTAATAAGTTCTGTGGCATGTTTTAAGAAGTTCCTTATCTAACACTATGAGACATAGTGTGATTAAAATTAATGTCATATAATATATTCTGTATCCTCAAACTAAAAATAAACCCTGATATACTGTTAAATTGTACAATGATATTTTTTATAAATAGTAAGAGACACATGATTTAAAATATATATCCAATCAGAGACAGGTTCTGCATGGGTTACATTTTATGCTGTATAGGATGAGGTAGAGGAATAAAAGTTAATTAAGTATAAGAGCAAACTTTAATATGCTCATTACTGTAGTATTGTTCCTTATCTCAAAAACGATAGTTGATCTTACTTGTAGCAGACAGCTGTTGGCATCTTTCTACTTCATATAGTGATACTGATCCAGAGCCTACAGGAAGAAGAAAAGAAAAAAAAGAAGAATTACAAATTACTATGGCACTGAAAACTATAAAAGATTATTGAGAGAAATTGAAGAATACCTAAATAAATGTTGACATAAGTTATCGTCATGATTTGCTAGGCTTGACAACGTTAAGATATCAATTTCCCTCCAAATATTTTGCAGATTAAATACAATTCTAATCAAAATTGCATAGGCATTATTACAGAAATTGCTAATCAGATTCTACTACTTAAGTGGAAATGCAAAGGATCTAGAATAGTGAAGAAAATCTTGAAAAAGAAAAACACTGCAGGATTTATAGTAAATGACTTTAAGACTTACTATAAAATTATAGTACTCAAGTCAACATAGTACTGGCATAAAGACTGACAAATTAAATTAATTAAATATATAATTTATAAATAAAGCCACATTTACAGTGGTGATTTTTGACAAAGACAGCATAATAATTCACAGGATAAGCAGAAATAGCTTTGGAACAATTGAAAATTCATACGGGAACAATGGATGCATCCTTCACACTATATTAACATGTAAAGAACAGAAAACAGAAATAAATCTATATTTACATCCATTTGACTTCTGACAAAGACACTGAAGTAATCTAAACAGGAAAAAGGAAATAAACATTGCTATAAAAACCAGAAATTCCTACTTAAAAGTAAAATGTCTACCTTACACTATACCACAAAGTGTTAAGAATAAATTACAGATATATGCAATAGTGCAGATAAATCTCAGAAACATACTTTGTGTAAGAGAATAGATAACTCATGATTCCACTTATTTGAAGCTCTAAAACAGAAAAGTATGCAGAATGTGAATTATTCATGTTTATATATCAGGTAAAACTCATGTAGTAGTACATGAAATAATTGGTTGTCATTTCAATGAATGTAAATTTATCTTAAAAATAATCTTAAACAATTATTGAATGTTAATGACACATATTCATACTTAACTGTTTAGAAGGCTTGATATCTGAAACTTACTTTAAACTGAACCAAAAAATAGAGACTAATAAATGAAAGGAGGAATGGAGAGAGACCAATATGTAACAGAACAAATAAAATAAAATATGAATCAGAGAATCTAGGTACTGAGTATATAATATTCTCTCTATAATTGTTTTAACCTTGTTGTATGTTTTAAAAATTCTTAATATATCAAAAAATACACCATGAAAATGAAGAAGTGGATAAATCAGTAAGTTTATTAAATGTAATACAATGACAAATTAAATTAAACGGCATTAAACAGGATATTACTTTAATAAGCAAAAGTAGAAATCAAACCAATAATTTGTAAAACACTATTTAATTTATAAAATGAGGAATTTAAGACAAGTATATTTTACAATTGCTTTATTTTCCATTCTATTACATATAGCAGTATATTATTTATTTTATGGAGCATCATATACAACACATGCATTACTAGCCTTTCTTCTTCAGCATCACTAATGACTAACACCAAAACACAAGAGAACTCGGACAGATATCTCAAAGTGATGTGGTACAATTTCAACGAATCTAATTTATTTATTTACATCTACCATTCCAATATGAAGTGTAAACAATGCAGAAACCATAAAAGCAGATGAATGAGAAAATATGGCAAAATATATATATGGTCTACCGTCAATTGATAAAAAAGGTAAAAGAATCCAAAAGAAAATCACATAGAGTAAGGACAGAAAATTGAAAGAAAAAAAAAAATAAAAAGAGCTTTTAATTATATTGAGATTTCCAAATGCTCACAAAAATTAAGTAAGACATTTCCTTTTACCTACCAAATTGTCAAGAAATTATACACATTGTTTAACCTCCAGAACTGTGAGGTCGTGGAGGAAAGGACATTATCCTATGCCGTTATTCAGGTACAAATTCTGATGACCTTTTCTGTAAGAAAGTTTGTAGTATCTATTAACATAAAACATATGTCTACCCTTTAATATATCAACTCCACTTGTAGGAGTTGTTGTTTTTTTTTTAAGAGAAGTAAAAGCATAAAAGTAAATGTGTTTAATATTTATTCAAACATTACATGCAATTACAAAGCACTTGTTGACAACCTAAATGTCTACCAAATGGAGAATGGCTAACTAAATATGGTTATGCCTGTATAATACAATACTATGTGATTACTAAAATAATGAATTTAAGCTATATGAATCAGTGCAGAAAGAGGTTTAAAATATACTGTTAAAAAAGCAACTATTATAACATGATTCCATATTGGTAATAACTTAAGAAAGAGGGAAGTTTTATTTCTTTATGTTAGGTATGTCTTTAGACATATGAAGGTATTGAAGGAATCACATTAAACTATTAACCTTATTTCAGGGAGAAAGGCATAGAGGTGGATATAGGCATACAGACAAGTATTCAATTTGATATTTTGAATATTACTGTGTAATTTAAAAACAATAAAACACTTTTAAAAGGAGAAAAGAGATTGCAAGAAAGTATAACTACAAATTACACTATATCTAAATGGTGTCAATTGTAAAAAATGGTCTTTAAATGGTAGTGTGAATAGTTATATATCAGGCTAAAATGCCATTATTGAGGTGACAGAAATGGGAAGAGTTTTAAGACAGAATGAGAAATAAATTTAAAAACAGAACGTCAAATATACCCTATATTTGAACTTTATTTGCTTTATCATCAGTAAATAAGTAAGTATCTGTGAACAAATTACATGATGCCTGTTACTCAAAGCCTCAGTTTCCTTTCTGTAAAAGAGCGAAAATAATACATCTTACAGGCAGTTGTCAGGATTAAAAAAATAATGGACACAGGCATTTACTAAGTGTCTATTAAGAAATGCATGCTAATTTTAGACTACTAGTGGTATAGCCAGAGAGTAAACACCCATAAAACATTTTTTTTTTTCTGGATTATAGCAGGAGAGGAGTTAAACTGTTAAAAAATATCAGACTAAAAACCTGATGTACATTCTACAGGTCAGAATGTACAACCAGATATTAAGCCAAAGTGGAAAAGGAGAAGAAATGTTGCACGCTGAACAGTTTTAAAGTTCAGACTTGAACAGGCATCTATTCAGGTAGACAAAAATAAAAACATACAAAAATATAATAATTTGATAGCATCTTATAATTAGATTATGAAAACTATGTATACATCTAAGATGTATATGAGCAAAAAATTATAGGGCTTTTTGATATAAAGCAGCACAATCAATAAAGCAGCACAATCATCCTTTGTTCATTTTAGAAACTGAGAAGTAAAAGTAGTTGCCTAGAAAATAATACAGAATTTTTAATGAATACACACATTTTATATATATATATACATCATAAATCAAGCAGTCACTATCACTCTAATTTGGAAATGTAATTATAAATTTAGGAAGAACCATACTTAACTTTGCATAGGATACAGATGAATGTTTAGGGTGTTCTATTATATTTTTATATATATATAAATATATACATAAATATATATATATTATATATATATATTTATACACACATATAAATAAAACAAAAGATAGAAATAGTGAAATATTAAAGAAAATAATTATACTGATGTAGCAATTTTATTTATCAGGAACTAAACTGTCAAAGTTAAAAACTGTCCTTACTTGAAAGGGCTGGAAAGCTGTCCTCATGTTCTGATTGAAAGATAATATCTGAACGCTGAGTAGCTGTCAAATCTGCAGATTCTAAAGCTCTAAAATGGAAAGAATATAATTTCAAATTTGATAACACAAAGTCAAAACAGCAAGTTTAGCTCCAACCACAAAAATCCAGGATTCCACTGTAATTACTTATACAATTTTCTGTGTATTCTCAGTAAATAGTCTACAGCTTCCATTAGATTATCTGAGGGTTCCAAAGCCCTCATAATTAAAAACCCAAGGTTAGAAAGATAAAAGTGGAACAGAAAGGCAATAAAATACTATAAACAAAAATATTCTGGCAATTTAATAGACATTCGAAGTCAGAACAATCTCACTGTAGATTCAAGAAATGAAATAATGAAATGCTATGTTGTTATATATTGCAATATAAATAAAAATGACATAAAATTAGTTAAATAGATTTTAATTTTAATGAAAAATTCACTGAAATACATTAAAATTTAAATATTACTTATCAAGTTACTGTTCAGTAAAATTAAGTGTTTTCTATCTCTGGAGATACATAAAAGTTATTTTTTTGTTCTGTCTAAAATACTGCTAAAAATATTTTTGTACACAGTAGCCACTAAGAATAGCTCAAGAAAAAGAATTGCATATACAGGAATTAAATTAATATACTATTTACTTTCTGAGCATATCCAAAGGTTAAAGACACTTTTGTTAAAAGTTTTAAAAATTCATATACTAAAACACTTCTGTTACCTATTTAATCTTAAGCCCTTTAGAAAGTTTTTTCTTCTCCTCTCCCCACAGCAGGATTAAATATTTTAGATATTTTAGTTATATAATAAAGTTTCCAAACTTTGGCTAAAATCTACTTGCCACTGTTTATTGCTATTCTTAGTATAACAAATGGTATAAGAAGAGCATGAGTGTAAAAAAGCAGACTTGAACTACTAGAAACTTAGACTATCATGATGGCTCTGTTACTACCTGGCTATTTGAACTTATAATCACTTGAGGTTGTATCATTTGGCTCATCTATTTAAAAACGTGGAGAATATCATAGAAGGCCATGAGGATCAAACCTGATGAGACCCACCAGGAACAATATTACCTTTGAAATTAGTGTAATGAATACCTTATGTACATTTTCTAAACAGGTGTATAAAATGCTTACTTTTTCAGTTGGTCCACATCTGAGTTACTTTCTGGCAAGACCCTGATTCCTCGACCATAACTAGTACCTCCATGGAGATGAAACTCTAGGCTTAACAATGATGCCTGGCTGTGCGAATTCACTGATTGTAGTTTGGTATGGAGGCTATAGATCCTAAGAAAGCTTCCAACCTAAAAACAGATTATTTATGATTTAGAAAGAGAGGAAAAAATCAATTTCTTACATTTAAAAATGTTAGATCCAGTGTGAGGCAATGACCAGCCACAACAAAAAGGACCACTGCCTAACCAGAAAATAAGAGTAAGTGTGCTATACCAGTGTGGCTGAACATCAGCTCCATGGATTCTATATCTAAACCACACATTCAATTGTAAGACAGTCCCATTTCAGACATACTGAATGTGAAAGAACATACTGTCTTAACATTAAGCTAGGAATGTGGGAAAACAGAGAAAGATATATTCAGTCTCAAGAGAAAAAGAAGTACTCGCAAACTGTTGGAATTCAAAACAAAACTACTCATGGGCAACCCAGCCTGCACCCTTGGGGCATGCCCTTGCCTGCAAAAAGTCATGTAATACCAGGGTAATATACAAGTAGTACAAAAACCGGCTTGAAATTGTGTAATTCTGCCCTGCTTCCACCTGTAGTCTAATCCATACTTACTGTCCCTCAATAAATGTTAACACCCCAGACCAAGTGGTGCCTCTCTAGTTCTTGAGATTGCCCATATTCTCCCTTGAATGTATCTTTGTTTCCCTAATAAAAACACTATCTGTGAATCTAACTGACATGTCTTAAATTAATTTCTCTAACATTAGTCAACATTTGTGGTCCTCCTCTCTAGGAATTCCTCCAGTCTCTTCCAGTGATGGCATCAATAAATTATAGCAAAGAAATTTATTATCTAAATGAAATCCAAGACCTTTATTTGATAAACATTTCTCAAAATGACTTGCTTTAATTAGTTTAAAAAATATGATCACTAAATACTCTCATGGGTGACCAAAGTAGAAAAAACAAAAAGTATAACTATACCAAAATAATAAATATTACACTATCCCTCAATTTTTATGAAAAGGAAATTTTTATAATAAAGCATTTATTTCCACAACAGTACTGCGAAATAAAATCACAGGACTGATCTATGAGTTCAAATATAGGATTAACGAGTTTTGAATCAACTAATCTATGGTTAATCTTAGATGTTTTGCTAAACTTAGTCTGAAAAGTATTTCAATTACAGAGAACCTGATTTTTTTTTCAATAAAGACCTCAATGAGAGAGATATAGAATGCCAATCAAAGATATCAAGATATCGACATCTACTTAAAAGAAGAAGCAACATAACCTGAATCATAATTTACTTTCATGAAAATTTACAGTTATAAGCTAGGAATTTAATTAATTTGCATAAAAGTAGCACTAGTGATTACTAGATGACTATAAGGCTATCTTCCTCTTTTTTTTTTTGGTCTGTTTTTCTTTTTTTTTTTCCTACAAATTCAGCCTAAAAGTGGGGATGTAAAATAGAACAGAAAAGCCATATAAGGGAGAATACAAAAAATAAAGACAAAGAGCAAATCATCTTCCACTAGTGACTGTAACTTTTCTTTTTAATATTTATTTTTTAGTTGTTGGTTGGACACAATATCTTTATTTTATTTATTTTCATGTGGTGCTGAGGATCAAACCCAGGGCCTTGCATGTGCCAGGTGAACACTCTACTGCTGAGCCACAACCCCAACCTAACTTTTCTTAATTACATTTCTCTTCCTCACACTTTTGCTATGATGGAAGGGGATAGGGGAAAGAAAGCAAAGTAGTAAATCTACATTCCCAGACATACTCCTTCATTCCCAAGGGTCTTTTGTCCCATCCAGTAACTGGTTTGTAAGGAGGGAGTAAGGTATCTAGTCTTTTCTCCTCTGACTTCTTACACATCATGACTGGGGAATAGGATGATGAACATCAGGAAAACACACACACACACATACACACACTCACCCAAAGATGATAAAACTCATTTCCCACATGGTCTCCAAAGTGCAATAGTGGAAGAAAATAAGTTTCTATTTATCTCATTCTTTTTGAATATTCATTATTTTGTGATTATATATGTATATAAATATAACTATACATCAAATATACTAGTACAGTATATTTCTATAATCTATGAAGAATTTCAAAGAAGGTCTAAATATATGGAGAAAGATTCTATGTTCACAAACAAAAAGCTCTGATATTATAAACATGATTTCCTCCATATTACTCTTTAAAGTCAATGTAATCTCAAGCAAAATCCTCAGTGTCTTTCATAGAATTTGAAAAGCTAATTAAAAATTTACGGGAAATAGAATAGTCAAGTAAATTTTTAAGATGAAGAAGGGGCTCTGTCCTATTAAAAGTGTACATACAGTAAAAATATATTTTTTTAAAGGATTAAGCAGGATACAAAAAAAAGTCAATGTATAGAGTTTGATTCTAAAAGTATCTAAAGTAAACATGACAAAACAATTTGAAATAAGTTTATCTGGTGAGCTCATGGGTGTTTATCTTTTCTAGTATTGTATTTCATTATTAAACAAAATTTAAAGGCCAGAATAGAATTCATATACCAACAGACTATAAAAATGACAAATGGTTATTATCAGAAATTCCTTCTGGAGGCAGCATTGTACCTTTTAAAACCTGACTAAATATATCATGAAATATGCCCAATGCTCTAGTATAAAAAAAAATGTTGTTTTGTCTTATCACTAATGCAGTAAGGTTCCAAAAACACAAGTGAAAAAATTTTAAAAAATATAAAATATACTTTAAAAATTATTATAATTTTTAAATTATATACTATTTCAATAAAGAAACACTGGAAAAAGCAAAGCAAATATGACTACTAAGAAACCACTATCTCTTAACATAATCACCTCAAGTTCTAACCATTTTCCTCCAAATGACATAATTTCCCTTTTCTTTATGGTTAAAGAAAACTCCATTGTGTATATATATAACATTTTCTTTATCTATTCATATGTTGTTGGATATCTAGGCTGATTCATATGTAGAAGCTAAGAAAAAGCAAAAGAACGGTGTGTGGGGCATGAGCACATGAAAAGCAAAGGGAGATCAGTAGAAGAGGAGAAAGCAACGAGGCAGTGGGACTGCAGAGGGAGGGGGGATGTGTTGAGGAGGAATATTGGCCAAGTTATATTGCTATATTGTGTGCATGAACTAATGTATAACAACAAATCCCACTATTATATATTACTATGATGCACCAATAAAAATGTGGAGGAAAAAAAAAAGAAACCACTATTCCTTTAGAAATAATCAAACTATGGGCTGAGGCTGTAACTCAGTGGTAAAGTGCTTGCCTCGAATGTGTGAGGCACTGGGTTCAATCCTCAGCACCACATAAAAATTAAATAAAGATACTGTGTGTTCATCTACAACTAAATAAATTTTAAAAAAATCAAAACATATTTTCCACAAATCATCAAGAATTTATCTTTAGGCTTAATACTTTTAATCCCCTGTATATGTCTCAAAATAGTCAAGCTACAGTTAATTAAGGGGTTGCTAAAGGCCAAAACATAATTATGACATTATATGTTTTATAGTTATTTTCAAAACTGTCAAGATAAGACAGAATCTCAATTTGTCTTCATGTGTGTAAAATGTTCTGGGAATGACATAACTTCCTTAAACAGCAAGATTCAGAAAAAAAGATGAAATGAGTTAAAAGGTAATTTACGTTGTAAAATGTATTGTTTAATAAAATTTGGTTACATCAAGCTTTACTTTGCATTAACTACTCCTTTATTTAAAAAAATACACATCTTTCCTGTCTCTGTACAACAAATTTTGAATTTGCTCCATGCGTTTTGATATTAAAATGCAAACTTAAACCGTTGCTTGAAACACTGATATTCACTTATATCTGCCATGTGATTAAAGATTTCATACATAAATGTGAATGTTTACAGAAGTTGCCAGAAATTAAGATATCAAGTACAAAAGCATATTATATAATAGTTTAAAGGTAATACTTAAACACAGAGACAATTATTTTCATTTTTAAATTGTCCTGCATACAAAAAATATAACTATGAAGTCTTTTGAGAGAAACAACATGCCACCTATTTTCTTAATTAGAATATGTGCTCATATCACCATCTAGTGGGCAAGAAGTTAAAAAGAAAAAAATCTGGAAAAAATTCACAGCATCCTTTCACTCATCTACTCATTAACCAACAGATATCATTTCATCCTTACAATATGGAAAGTACTATAATAAGTACTGTTCAGGACTTAGACAAAAAAGTAGAAGAAGTAAGGAAATAAAATTCACAAAAGTGCAGAGGGAAACAAAATGGAATTACAATAATCAGTAGATATGCATGATGAGGAACTGAGGTGATTCTAAAATGTAAATCCTTTTTATTCATAAAAGAACTCCTTTTGTACTAAAAATAACCACAGAAGTGGATTTATCATAATTTTTCATTTGAAAAGATAGTAGTACAGACAGTATCTTTCACAGAAAAAAAATACCCAAAGTATATCTTCAACAATAATATGTCGGGTACACACACATAAACACAGACATTTCTAAAGAACCAGAAAGTGCATTTATTATATCCAAAGCCCTAATTTTAACCCAATTTTATTGTTTGAGTTGGGTGAGCTCATTTGAAACACAATGTGAGAGTGGAAGTGTTTTTTTCTCCATGGATTTTACATTTTTACAAAAGGAAACTGAGCATTGAAATGCATATCTGCACTTTTACTATTTCCTTTTAACTTCCATAAATAGGCAGAAAGACATCTGCAATAAGAACATTTCCTTTTAATGTTTAAAGGATTACTTCAGGAAACAGACTTTGTGGATTCAATCACTGGCATAATCAAATAGCTGTAGAATTTTGGAAAGTTCACTTAACCTCTGAAAACCTCACTGTCTCATTTATAAAATGAGATGGTGACAGCACTTACAGCATAGGTTAGTAACGGATTCATATGAAGTACTTAGCAAATGTTATTATTATAAATCATGGTATCATTATTTGTTACAAAGGATACTTTCAAATAAAATACAACAAAATGAAGAAAAATATTCCATGAATTTGTGTTTCTAATTTAATAGGAACTGCCATATCTAAACAGTGCATTTTTCACTAAAAACTATAAGCAAATTCCTCAAAACAGTAAACAAACTCTATAAACTTTACAGTACATAAAACACAACTAAATCATTACATTGGAGAGGATTTACCACTTTCTTAAACCAGTAAGTACAAAGTTGCCATCTAGAATCTACCAAATCAATTAACAAGCTTAAAATTTATTAACAATACTTTACAAATCCTTTGTCACTTGACAAAATTTTCCTTACTATTTACACAGTAAATTGTGTATGGATGGATACAAGATATCAGGAAAGATTAATTTAAAAAATAATCTATTATATATTCTAATTTATTTAGGTGACTTTAGGTACATATTTTATAAATTAAAAATTCAAGAAAAACATAAATTTGAAGCTAATTTCTAGACTTCACCTATCACCTATAAATGTAATCTTTTATCACCAACATTTATGTGAACCAAAATCATCAAAATACAATAAATAACAAACATAAAGTAGCAAAAATTTTATGACACTCAACATTACCTTCAGGGATTTTGCCACTCGAACATGGTTATCATAGACTAAAATGTCTATTGTCAGATTCTGTAGCCGATGAATATGAGTTAAATCACCTTCAAGAACAAGGTCTTGTATTAAAACTCTCCAAGATGGGAATGGTGTCCTGGTACCATCCCATACCTGCCAAGGGAAGAGTAGAGCAAACTTTAATGATATTTATGAAAAAAATGTAAACGTTTTATTTTGTATTAATAGTATTTAAATAATTAAATGTATGCACTTAAATATCTGCAATACTTTAAATATGATACATATTATTTTCTAATTATAAAATTATTAAAAATAAACTATTGGTAATGTGAAAACATAAAAGAAATAAAATTCACTTTTATGAGCCTAGACAAAATATTAGTATACTGTTCTATTTCATTTTTCTATTGTTTTTGTATACATAGTGTATATATTTAAAACTTTTAAATAAATTGGTTTTATGTAATGTTATGGTTTGGATGTGGTGTCTCACAAAAGCTCATGTATGAGACAATGCAAGAAGCTCAAGAGGAGAAATGATTGCACTGTGAGAGCTTTAACCTAATCCATGAATCCCCTGATGGAATTAACCCAGTGTAACTGAAGGTGGGAAGGGTGTGGCTGCAGGTGTGCTTTGTGGTATATATTTTGTATCTGAAAGTGGAGTCCCTCTCTCTGCTCTCTGATCATAATGTGAGCCATTTTCCTCCACCACACACTTCTGTCATGATGTTCTGCCTCACCTTGAGCCACTAGGAATGGAGTTGGTGATCTATAGTTGAGATCTTTGAAGCTATGAGCCCCTAAATAAACTTTTCCTTTTTTATAATTGTTCTTATCAGGTCTTTTAGTCACAGCAGCAAAAGAGCTGACTAAAATATATCACTTTTCTCTATAGTTTATGATTAAGTATTTTATCAAGCAATTTAAATAATACCCTACAATGTGGTTTACAATGTATTCATATTATTATTTTAAATCATTTGATTTTATTTTCTTAAATACACAACAGCAGGATGCATTACATTTTTTATTACACATATAGAGCATAATTTTTCATATCTTTGTAATATTATTTTAATAGGGATGGGCACAAATTTACCCTACTAACCTTCATTAGTCAGTTGGGTGGTTTCACATTTTGTTATTTAAAATAATACTATAGCTGTCATCTTGCGTATGAACCTTTTTGAGTACCTATACTAATTATCTTAAAAAATTTTGTAGACTAACATTAGAAATATACTGACTTTTGTTAATTTTTTCCATTTTGTTCTTATTTAGAAAATCCTTTTAAAAGATGTGAATGTTTTATTTACACTAGATTTTAAAAATACAACTAAATGAAAATAATGGGTACTGGAAAAAAAAAAAAACTATGTTGGACTGCTATGTAAACTACCTTAAGGTGCTGGGACATGGGGCACAAGATGAGAACGCATTCCCCCTTCCTCACAACATGAACAGTCTATGTTGTGCTTGGGTTTTAAGAGATGCTATGCTGTGCCACAAATAAGTATGATGATGAAGGACAGCTGGTGTGATGTGGGAATGTGAGAAAAGTATGGATGAACAAGAATAGAGAGGTTATTTGAAAAGAAAACACTAGATCTTTTATTTCTCTCTACTTTTTTTTTTTT